AATTACATAAAATGGGAGAATTGGATTAGATCCAAATTTCCCAAACTTCTAGACTGAAATTCTTAAGAAGACAGACATCGTATTTTGTTGCCCGGTACACACACATGCACGCACACACGTGCACTGCATAACTGAAACAAGTGTTTGTGAAACTCACCCTTACTATATGTGAATGTCGCTAATATTTTTTATTCTATTCTATGTTTTGTTTAATGCTGATTGTGACCTACTAATTAAGTCTGTCAAAAAACTCAACTAGAGGACCTAATTTAGACTCCTTTAATCCTAACATCTTGTTAGCCTATAGGATTTTATTTGGAGCCTCTCTTATCTTAAATACACAGTCAGTCACCAGAGAAATGCAAATTAAAACCACAAGGAGAGACCACCTCTCGCCTGTCAGAATGGCATCGTCAATAAATCCACAAACAAGTGCTGGTGAGGACGCGGAGAAAAGGGAACTCTGGTGCACTGTAGATGGGAAGGCAGATTGGAGCAGCCACTATGGAAAACAGTATGAAGGGTCCTCAAAAAATTAAAAATATCTCTCCCACTGGCTCACAGCAGCGCTGCAGCATCGTGGGCGCCCGGAGGTAGGTGGTCAACTTCAACCCGGGGCGGCCACACGGCCTCGCTGCCTCGCTGGGTCTTGTTAGAGATACAAAAAGAATAATTAGGCTACAAAGGCTTTGGGGTTAGTGTTCTTAACATGCGCCACAGGTCATCAGATTTTGCTAAAATTCTTAACAACACAGAGGCTCTTGTGCGGGAATTGCTAGCCGTTCCAGGCAACTCCACGAAGTTTTGTGCAAGGAGGTGGGTCTGGCCAGTTCAGTGCTGTCCCCTAACCTGACTGGGCTGAAAGCAGAAAGGTGTGCTTTGTGGTGACAGGAGCTTGGTCAGCTAAAGCCGCAGAGGAAGCCAAGGGATTCGGGACTGTGAGCACTGTCCACCCTAAACTTGGAAGTCACGCAAACATTCTAGACCCAAGTACATGGACATTCAGCCAGGAGCCTCCTCTGTGTATCACTGCGCCCATGGGACCATGCACCACCTGGACGTTGACTCTATCCCGGGTGTCAAGGGAACGGTGCTGATCTGAGGCTTGTCTTCAAATTTCCTATTCCAGGCCAATGGACATTTCCAAGCTTGGTGTGTTTTTGCTACTACACAGAAGAACATTGGTGGTGATCATCCGTGACGACCTGCTGGGGTTCGCCCTCAGAATCCTGCCTCTGGTCCTGGAGTCCAAAGTGCAGGCTGAAAACAACTTTATGCAACAGGCTCCCGGCTTCAGCTTCTAGATCATGGGCCTGAGCCTGGAGTAGATGAGACAGTGGTGGTGCAGCAGCCATGGGGAAGCTCAGCTCCATCAAATCGCAAATAATTATGATATCATTGGTAATTCTCAAGGATTCTCAAGGTATGCCCAATGGAGCCCAGGACAGAAGCAAAATGAATATTCCATTTCACACGGTCAATGCCAAAAGGTGGCAATGCTACAGTAAAAAGGTTTCTTGATAAAGCTCTTTTTTGTCTGTCTATTTGTCTGTTCGTTCGTTTGTTTTGTTTAGCTTCAGATAAAGCTCTTGGGCTCAATATGCTCTCCTTGAAAGGGCAGTAGGTCTGTGGGAGGTATGCAGGCCTCTCTGCATAATGCTGCGGCCATCGGGATGTTCAGGAGCCAGCAGCCTTCATGAAGAATGCATTGCAGATGCGTGAGCTGTGAAACCATCCTAACCAACATATATACTCTACCCTTGAACAGGGTCCAAAATGTAAACTAACTTAACAATGGCTTCAAAAACTGAAACGTGGTATTGTTCTCAAAGGAATATGCTTATTATAGACTTCTCTATGTTTTTTTTTCAAACAACAGCAAAACATCCACAGCTCTGCAAAGCTGGTGGGAGTTAACAGACACCGTAGTTTTGACTTGAACTGGAAGCTTTAAAAAACCTTCCTTTAGCTTTTCTAATGATTCCAGCGTATGTTTGTCTTTGCTGCTGCTCTTTCTAGCTAGATCTCAGTATTCAACTTGCCTGTGGATTTAATTATGCAAAGTGCAGTTAATGTCCCTGGAGACACAAAAACACTCAGCATAGAGTCCTCTAGGTGCTAAATCTTGATCATTTCTAAAATGACAGCAGTGGGGGCTCTTGAGTTGGATAACTGTTAACTCGGGTCAGCGTTGACCATGTGTTGCTTTACAAGATTTAGAAGTTCCCTGATTCATTCAGTAGGGAGAAGAGAAGTATGTGACCAGAGTGATGCTGTGAGTTCTGGGAGATGCTGGCTGAAGAGTCTTTCCCCCTGTTGTTTATCCAGTGTCAGTATTTTATGGCGAATACATGAAGGACCTTAAAGCCCTAAAGCATCTTAAAAAATTAAAATAGAACTACAGTATGAGCCAGCAATCCCACTTCTGGGTATTTATCTGAAGAAATTCAAAACACTAATTTGAAAAGATGTATCTCTCAGTTCATTGCAGCATTATTTAAAATTGCCAAAATATGGAAGCAACAGAGGTGTCCATCAATAGATGATTGGCTTAAGAAGATGTGGTACATATATACAATGGAATATTACTCGGCCACAAAAATGAAGGAAATCATACCATTTGTGACAACATGAATGGCCTAGAGAGTATTATGCTAAGTGAAATAAGTCAGACAGGGAAAGACATACCATTCCATTTGACTTGTATCTAAAGAACAAACTAAATGAACAAACAAAATAGAAACAGACTCATAGATATAGTGAACAGACTATGGTTGCCAAATGAGAGAGGTATTGGAGGACTGGATCAAAAAGGTGAAGGAATGAAGAAGTACAAATTGACATTTACAAAATAGTCACAGCAATGTAAAGTGCGGCATAGAGAATAATATAGTCAATAATATTGTAATACCTACGTATGGTGTCAAATGGGTACTAGATTTATTGGGGGAACCTGTCACAAGTGATATAACTGTATAACCCTAAGCTGTACACCTGAAATTACTCTAATATTGAATGTGAACTGTAATTGAAAAATAAAAAATTTTCAAATACAGTCATTTATTTGAAGCAAATATCACATATTACAGGGGACATCCTTTTTACTTCCAATCTGAGCTAATTGCATAATAATAATAATAACAGTGATAATCACTTCCACTTACTGTATACCTTCCATATGCCATAGGTTTAATATGCTGTATCTCCTATAGTTTATAGACTATAAGTATTATTATTTTTTCTTTTTATTTATTTTTTTAATTTTTAATTTTTAATTTTTGTTACAGATGTTTCTCCTTTTTGACCCTATTGGCTCCCCCCTTCCCATCCCCCCCGCCCCGTCCCTGGCTTTGTTGTCCATGCCCATTGGTCATGCATACATGCATATGAGTTCTGTGGTTTATCTCTTTCCACCCCTCCCACCCCCTCTTCTGAGGGATGTCAGTCTGTGCCCTACTCCCATGTCTCTGGGTCTACCATATTCCTCAGACTGTTATGTTCATTATATTTCGTATATAAGTGAGATTATGTGGTATTTGTCTTTTTCTGCTTGGCTTATTTCACTTAAGATAATACTTTCCAGGTCCCTCCATGTCGTCTCAAAGGATAAGAGATCTTTCTTTCTTACAGCTGCATAGTACTCCATTGTGTATATGTACCACTGCTTTTTTATCCATTCGAATAGACTATAAGTATTATTATCTCTGATTTACAGATGAGGAGACCAAGGCTCAGATTAAGTAATTTGCTTAAGGCCACATTGGTAGTAAGTGGCAGAGCTGAGATTTGAACTAATTCCAAAGCCCTTACATACAACATTTCTTTTAGGGGAGCATATATATAGGGGTCAAGAAGGAGGAGTGAGGTCTGGAAGCTGCAACAGCTGAACACAATTACTTCCCTCATAGTTTGCTGTCCCGAATAGAAATGACTTTGGGGGTATTCAGCCACCACCATAGCAGTGATTAAAATCTTACCCAGGGGACTTTTCCAATCTCCCTCAACCCAGGTCACCGCCAGATCAGTTCAATCAGAGTCTCTGGGGGTGGAACCCAGGCCTGTGTTTCTGAAAGCTCCCAGTTGATTTTGATAAGTAGCCAAGGTTGGACCTTTGCTCTGAAGTCTTGGTTAAAGAAATTAAAGAGCTTCAGGGGGCTTTTCTATTTTATTTCCTGCAAACAAGATTTAGAAGAAGCCTCTTCAACTGCTTTTACAAAGCTTAAGTACAAGACTGTCGCTATATCTTTGGAGCACAAAAAATAAAAATAAAATAAAATAATGCATGTAACCTTGTGTCTGCTCTTCAAGACCAGAGAAAGAAGAGAATGCTCAGGGAATGGACAGAGATGTTATAAGCACGTGTCTCTGTGGCACTTCGTACGTCAGCTTACATAATTTTGAGTCATTTTTTATATAACTAGAGAAATCGGTTGTTGAATTAATCAGAAGTAGTCCTAGCCAAGTTGGCCCAGGACATTGTAGAAAAAAGCCAAACCAGACTTTAAGGTAATTATAAATGTGATAAGCCACCATCTTTTCTTAAAAAGTCTCAGTGAAAGATTTCCGCTTTTTCACGTGGACTATGGTAGCTCTGATAAGAGCAAGGACCCTCCCACAGCAATAGGAAGCTATCCTTCTACTAAGCTCTCACCCACCTGGTTTTGGTTAGCCCTGCGTTATTACAGCGTGTGGCCTGTGCATTCCATCTGAAAACCTGCCGACCCACACTCAGTTCCCCTCTGTTCGTGCATGATCCTCTAAAACAGGTCTGTATCGTATGCTGGGGGCGTTCCACGTCTCAGGAGACATTCACGTTGTTAAAACTATGTGCAATCTTCTTACTTCAGAGGATGAAAATACAGGATTATCATAACAACAACAAAACATCTATTGTATTCTGAAAGCCACAGACAAATGAGCCCTGACTCCTGCTCAGGTCGACACGAAGGCGACCTCCTTCTGTCCTGTCCTCAGTAACGGTGCTCAATGTTTGCTTACAGAATGACGTGGCTGCACTTCTGAAGCCAATATCGGAAAAGATTCAGGAAATCCAGACTTTCAGAGAGAGGAACCGGGGCAGTGCGATGTTTAACCATCTTTCGGCCATCAGCGAGAGCATCCCTGCCCTTGGGTGGATAGCTGTGGTGAGTCGGTTGGAGGGTGGGCCCTGCACAGCGTCACCTTTGTGGGGTGTTTCGGAGAATCCCTAGCTCCCTTCAGGCTCCTTCGTCCTCCCTCCATCGCGTGGAGAGCAGAGTCTGTGCAGGCTGGATGCACGGCTCTCTCTTATGCTGTTGGAAGTTATGCTTTGTGTCCTAAGAAGTGGAAAGTGTTTCGTCAATCTTTACGGGGCAAAATTTGCCTCCAGCATCCAACATGTTTTCAGTCAACATCCACATTGCGTTTTTTCTTCTTTAAGGTATTTTCTCTCTTATCCTTTTTTTCTTTTTTCTTTTTCCTTCTATGCTTGGGTGATGGTCCTGTTCTCTCAGTCCCCCAAACCCGGTCCTTATGTCAAAGAGATGAAAGATGCCGCCACCTTTTACACGAACAGGGTTCTAAAGGACTACAAACACAGGTACGTGCCTTCTTTTCCTGGGCAGACTTCCTGTTCATGGCTTAGACTTTTTTTCCCTAAAACTTAATCAAGTTCATTACTGATTCCTACTGAGGGCTCTTAACTAATTACGGTAACTGTTCATGAAATATCCTATCTTTGCAGGTAAAGCAAAAAGGAAAGTGAAATCAGTTTTCCAGATACTATGTGTCCCAGAAAGTCTGCCTCAGTTTTCTTGTAAGGAATAAACTCTCCCACTTGCATGCGTGTCATCTATTACGTGTTCCCACAATCATGTGAGAGCTCTCTGATGGTTTGTGATAGACCAGCCCTATATGGTCACGAAACTTTTACACTGATCAAAATAGTTGTCGGGTGAGCAGGAGAAGAAAGGGGGAATCAGGAAATGGAGTATAAAGGAAGAACAGAAACGAGACGAGACCATAAACCAGGCCGATGAGAGGGAAACCAGAGACGCATTAGGATGAAATACAGTCGGGGCGGACAGAGAGACATCTATGAGAATAGCAACACTCAGAGGGCTGTTGGATTACAGATGAGTCTGAACCAAGGAGTTTGCCTAGAGAACCAGCTTTTAAATTTTAAAACCATTGCTTCCCACAGCTGAAATCATTGATCTTAGAGAGACCTAAGTAAGGGTTACAATGGGAAATGGGACCACATGGAAAGACACCAGACCTGAAGATCCATGAAAATGTCTCCCCAGCTCCAGTGCTGCCTTCATACAGTTTATTTATTCCATGTTAGCAAAAGAGGTCTTGTAGCTTTTAAGAAGTGCAGCTTTAGGAGACTTTTCCTCTTTACCCCAAGGGAATTTTGAATAAAATATTTATACCCAGTAACAGGCTTCCTGCACCCAGAAAACTTTGGTTCAGGCGATTTGCCCAATGATACGACTCCAACTGTTGCAATGTTGTATTAGAGACTATAGAACATTGCAATATGAATGAGAGAAAGCATCAAAAATACAAGGCATCCTGCCCTCTCATATAAAAATAACAGTTCAGGAATAAATGTTGTTACAAATGCTGGACACAAAAGTTATGTTGGCACAAATCCACACCCACGGTGACTTCCACATCATAGATCTTCTGTACCTAGTTGTTCTTTCAGGACTGGACACCTTGGGTACCACCTAGGTCTCTGCCTTTTTGCATATCACCCTTGGAGGTCATTTCTGGTTTTACTTATGTCATCAGCTTTTGGCCCCCTCCCAGTCCCTACCTGAGTGTGTGTTGGGGCCATGGGTGTGAGCGATTCCCTCCAGGTGGCAGCATAGCCTGGTGGGTGGTAGTTTTCCGCTTTTTTGTACACAGACGGATAGAGCTTAGTGTTTGCCCCTCGATGTCAGCTGTGGAGTAGGATACGTATGTCTGGCAGCATCAAGGGCAACTCAGTTACACTTAATGGACCACCTGAAAACTGTGCCATGTGCTGGGGAGATGCAACCAATGGTGTGGATGGATGCACTTCACTTCCCGAAGTACTCAGACCAGACCCAAGGCACAGCTCGAGCTTCCGGGGACGGTAACCCAACAGGAGCAGGACACTTCACGGGGCTCACGGTGCACCCACTGACGTGGCACCCAGGCCAGCTGTGCCTCCCCGCTGTGGGCTCAGTGCTGCCGCGGGAGGTCGCAGGCCTTCGCCTCTCGTTGCTGCCAACCTGCGGATGGGTCGGTGGGTAGAGGAGTTGAGCAGGCTTCCTTGTGGTTTAAACAAAAGTGCTGTGGGCAGTGGACTCTGCAACCTTATAACTGGCCTGACTGGTTGTTTGGCTCTTTTTCAGTAAATGAATAGAGGACGTTCATTATTTTGACTTCATAGAGGAATGGCCTTTCCGGGTCATATCCATTAAAGTCACATGCCCCCACCATAGCTTCTTCCAGGGTAAATGGAAGCTGAGGACGGGTTTTCGGCTCCTGACGTGTTGTCTCACAGAGGCTGACGTCAGGCTAGAAGACGTATCGTTATTCCTCATTACAAGTTTCCCTAGAACCTTCTTCAAGTCAAAATCATACTATAACAGTTAAAAGAAAAATGAATTTGCCTATACATGCTTGGACCTCATGGCTCGTTCAGCTTTTTAAATAGCAAGTATGTTCCACATGCAGACGGCTATTTCTACAATGTCTACAGACTGCGTGTTGTATGTACATACACATACGTACATGTGCACATACATGTGTTAAATAACCACATACAAATATGTCTGTACATTATATTGAGGTGATTCTAGTGCTCTAACCATAGCTGCTGTATAGACGGCTCCTGTGTGCAGGGCACCGTACCTAGACCCTCACAAACCCAACAGGATCAAGGAACTGATGTGAGGGGCGTATGAGCTACATTTAGCCTTTTGGGTTTTGACTGTGAAAGTGCAAGAAAAGGAAAATGAGCATTTTCCCAGATTTGATTGATATCATCAGTACATCTAAGGCGGTAGAACAGAACCCCACTCCCTGTTTCCTCTTGGAGGGGGGTCATTATGGCTTCAGTTCCCCTTTCACTTTTCTCAGCCGGCAGGACTTCTGCGGCGGAGGCTAAGCGAGCTGTGGTGCTGCCCGGGGGCTCTCCGGCGAGAAAGTCCTTGTTGACAAGAGCTTTAGTAATAAGATTTTCTTCCGTAATGGTCTTCAGATTCATGGCGCAGGTTCAGGGTTAAGTTTTTGGTAACTGAGATTTCAGCCTTTTCTCACTCACCACTACTTCGTTCAAAGTGGGAAGCAATGTGTGGCTGGAAAGTAGCCAAAGGTTTTACAAGTTTAAAGTGTCTAACTGTTGTCTCAAGCCTGTATGTTAACGCTGTTGTAAAAGGTGGGCATTTACTGCATCTGGGTTCAGCAAGATGGGGATGAAAGTCTTGCTAATGCCCTGCCGAGCTTGTATTGTCATGAGTATCCAATTACGCTAACTTAAGTGAATGTCACCTTTAGAAGTATGGAATGACACCCATTTGTAGGAAGTCATTTTTCTTATAACAGCCACTTCCTTACCAGTCTAAAATTCTCCAATCTGGTTACACTTCAACCGAATAACTCCACCGAATTATTAAAAAGCAAACCCAGGGACCTTTTATTCCAATGCCATTCTCCTTCCCAAAAGCACACTGCTGTCCATTTTGCAGTTTGCACTAGACACTGTCATCCTTCCATCAGAGGTGACACGACCCGACTTGCCTTGGTTCCATGGGGTCCACCTCCGAGGTCCTCTCTGATCTACCCCTGGAGCTCAGGGTGCTCGGCTCCCCCCAGGACAGACCTGAAGCTCCTTTCTTTCAAGGTTCTGTTTGGAGTCAGTTCACGGCGACTGGACTAGAAAGACAACTGCTCCAGGGTCATCCAGCCTTAGTTCCTGGACTAGCATGCGCCTCCCTGGTTTTTTCAATCTGATGTTAGATCCTAACTCCATTCTCTTCCACTCTCTTTTACAACAAAGCGACCTGCGCCACGTGGACTGGGTGAAGTCGTACCTGAGCATTTGGAGTGAGCTGCAAGCATACATCAAGGAGCACCACACCACAGGTCTGACCTGGAGCAAAACGGTAAGTCCAGCCCTCTTCCTCCTGGCTAACGAAACACCACACACATGGTCATTCCCGGCAGCCTAGTGACCTCACACTTTAGAATTTACCTCAAGCAAAGCATAAGATAAAATATACACGTAGAAACTATTTACAAAAATGTCTGGAAACTGCCTGCATCGAATACAGAAAGAGGAAAATTGTCTCTGGTAAGAACACTGGACAGCTGTTAGAAAGAACATGATAATTACATGGGAAATGACTTACTATTCTAGTTAGTGGTAGAGTACAAAAGTTTATGAGCTTTCAATGGCATATATATTAAGAAATGATGAGATAAAATTAAAAATGGAATGAAGCAGGAAAGTTTGAGATTGTTATTACTTTTAAGGAGATAGTATTATGAATAAAATGTCTTTTTTAATGTTTTTGCTTTCTCTTTTGGTGTTTTAAAGTTTATCAAATAATGCCCTGGCCGGTTTGGCTCAGCAGTTAGTGTCAGCCTGCGGTCCAGAGAGTCCCGGGTTCGGTTCCCACTAAGGGCATGTGCCTTGGTTGCAGTTTGTCCTCGGCCCTGGTTGGTCGTGCGGGTGGCAGCCACTCGATGTGTCCCTTTCACATCGATGTTTCTCTCTCTCTCTTCCTCCCACTCTATCTGAACAAAAAATGGGAAAATGTCCTCAGGTGAGGATAAAAAATAAAAAAGTAAAGTTTATCAAATAACATTTTTAAATACATAAGCAACTCTAGTGCTTTGTGTGATGCCCTAGTCCTGGGTTAAAACCCCAGGCTGTGTCTGTTCCCGCTCGGCCTCTCTCTCACCCTCCCTTGTCTCTGCGTCCAGCGCTGCCAGACCGCTCACAGCACCCTGACCACATGCACTGCTGAGGTCAAAACCAAGCTACCGTTGTTGTTTCAAAATTTGCAAGTTTCATGTGGTTTAGCCTTTATTGCGATGTCCCAAACATATATTATACTACATGACCTGAGCTCCCTGGGGGATTGCTCCCTCCCTCTGCTCCAAGGCTCAGCTTCAATATCATTTCTTTAAGAAACTTCCACTCGTCTCCCTCGGCTCTGGAGTGGGTGGCCCTCCCTCAGTGCGTCTTTCAAAGCTTTTTAAAATTATTCTACCTCAATCATAGCCTTTAGCATAAAGAATTGTAATTTTGTGTGTGCTTTCGAAGCTCTCTCATTCAACTGGAAGGTCATTTCTATCTCTGGCCCCTAACATAGTACCTGGCACACAGTAAGTACTTGGTAAGCAATTCAAACTGATTTGTGAGTTACAGGTCTTTTAGAATCTTCTTTCACCTGTTAAGACTATGCACTTGTTTGGGAAATGCTTCTTATGGAGAACCCCTTCTGTTAGAAATGAATGTTACCACCCAGCCAGTGTGGCTCAGTGATTGAGTGTCAATCCATGCACCAAGAGGTCACCAGTTTGATTCCCAGTCAGGGCACATGCCCAGGTTGTGGGCCAAATCCCCAGTGGGGGGCATGCAGAAGGCAGCCAATCGATGTTCTCTCTCATTGATGTTTCTATCTCTCTCTGCCTCTCCCTTCCTCTCTCTCTAAAAGTCAATAAAGAAAAAAAAGAAAGAAAGAAATGTTACCTTTCAGTAGCCACAGTGGAGTAAACGCTGACATGAAATGGCATATTGTGGATTCTATTCAAGGGCAGGATCCACACTCGCCAGATAGCCCTACTCCAGCACCTAACCCTGATCTAAATGTTAATGTCAGTAGATCAGGCTTTGTATGAATGCCAAGTTTGTGATTTTTCAAGGGCATGTGGGACTTCTGCATTTGTACCCCAATGCTTATACAAATGTTAACATTGACCTCCTAATGACTGACACATCTTTTTATTTTCTACTTTGCCTATTTTCTCTATGAGCTGCAATGCATAGTGCAAGACACAGTAACTAAGTTGATTATTTTTCTTCTGCTCACAACATCATGATTTCTGAAAGAAGAGTCCATGGACATTTGAACGGTTTTAATACTGAAGAGTGCTTATAGATGTGGGCGGGTGTTGGTGTCGACTAATTGGAATTATTTTTCATACATTTCTAACGAGATGCTGTTTTGTAAAAGGTCAATTTGTCATAGAGAGGAATTGTCACATATTTGCCATGAAGATAGGTCGTCATGAGAGAATTAGTAAACTAAACACCAAAGGTCTTTGGATGTCTTATTATTTCATGGTAGTTAAATAAAAAAAGGAATAAGAATTAATTTGTGGACATTAATCATGTCAACAAACCCTATCCTATTAATTCTCTAATGGTGCCCATGGAAAATGAGTAGAAAATTACTTTTAAGTGGTTCGAATACCTAATGCAATGTGCAAAGCTGAGTAATTGTGTTTTGAATGTAAAAAAGAATTGATTTTTAATTATAGAAAAAAAAATGTAGTTGCTTTGCTTTGTTTAGAGTGAATACTTATCTTTTATATGTCTTGTAACAATGCCTTTCAAAGTTTTTTTAAGGCAACCCATAGTAAGCAATACATTTTTACATACACACACACACACAATCCACATTGTTTTAAATTTTTTTTCTTTATTGATTTTAGAGAGGAAGGGAGAGGGAGAGAGATAGAAACATCGATGAGAGAGAACATCGATTGGCCGCCTCCTGCATGCCCCCCACTGGAGATCAGGCCCACAACCTGGGCATGTGTCCTGATCAGGAATCGAACCAGCGACCTCTTGGTGCATGGGTCGACACTCAACCACTGAGCCACACCTATTGGGCCACACATTCCACTCTTTGAAAAAAATGTTAAAAACAAAAATGTTCTATTTGGGCAAAATGTAAATGATCTCAGAGCACGCATTGGACAGCCTGGGCTGCCGTAACAAAAATGACAGCTACTGTGGGGGGAAGGAGGGATATCTGTAATACTTTCAACAACAAAGATTTTTAGAAATGACAGCCACTGTTTACTGAGCACATGGCATGCCTCCGGGCAATGTTATTCAAAATGGTAACCGTTACAGAGCAGAACATTTGCTTCACCTCTTTGATAGAAAAGTGGTACGATAAAGCTTTGGGCAGCTATGAAAAGTGAGGGATGAATACGGTAAGAAAATTTTAGATCAGAGATAACATCCTACATACAAAATCGTTTGACAAGTTTTAAGACATATGCATAGAACCCATGTCCTCATATTTTTGTTCTCAAATTTGGGGTGAAAGAAAAAAACCAACCATTACAAAAGAGTTTTTAATTTAAAATCTAAATTTCAACTATTTTAGTTACTTGTTTTCGTCTTTCAAAGTGGGCTCCGAGATCTGCGCTCCGTGGGGCTTTAGTGACTTGGCGCGCTGCTGGCGCTGGGAACCGAGTGTCCAGGCGTCACGGCCCCAAGAAAGATCATTCCCCTGAGCTGGCAGCCGGATCTGTGTTTCCCTGCTCCCACCTCCTAACCTTCGCGTCCAGACTGCAGCTGTGCCCGACAACTGTTGCTCCCTTCCGTTGTCACAGCGAAATGCAAAACGGAGGCCAGTGGTGCTTCGGGACAGGGCCCGGCGAGGGGTCGTGCGCCCACAAGTGTACGGGCGCGGGGTGGGGTGCGCTCGGGGAGCAGCAGCTGCGGAGTAATCCATCTGGAATTCCCTCCTCCGTCCACTGTGGCAAACGGAGTGGTCTCGTTCCTGTCCGCTTTTCTGCACCAGGAGCGTGGGCTAGGGCTCGACACCAGAAACCTTCTTGTAGTTTGGGGGTAGCCTGATTATTAGGAGCCCTCTCCATATGAATTCACGTGGTTTCCTCAGCGCTAGGTCTCAAATGCACTTTGTGGAATACGTTGATCTTTTGGCAGGAGCCCAGTACTGTCTATTATTATGCCTTGCAGTAGGTGGGATGTGTAATATTCGTTGGCAGTTCCTGCAAAATCAGATAACTAGCGCTGGACGGCTGAAGCCTAATCTGTACACTTATAATTACCGAAGTAACTGATTTTTCGATGGCTTGTCCAGATCAGCCTTCCAGCTGCCTCTCTGCTCGGTGGGGATCCAGAAACGGTCATGAAAAGAAAGTCATAAATAGGATAGAGTGTGGTTCTTTTCTTAACTTTCTGGTGTTAAACTTGACATCGTTGTGTCCCTTCGTATGTCTTTCCTAATTACTTTAGTTTTGAAAACAACTCCGGTATAATTATTTATAAAGCAGAATAAAACTACAAATCGATGAATGTGGATGAAGTCTTACATACTGGTGACGTAATTCTTTGTGTTAATAATGTGGGTTTTTAAACAATCTGTCCTGTACACCAGTTGTCATCCCTCCTAACCTCCCCTGAGTCTCCAGAAAATGCAAGTCGTTGGAAAATGGTTGCAATTTTACAAAGGTGGGGTTTTATTTTTCTCAAAGCAAGAGACTTTGTGATCACTCCTTTTTCTCCAGGTATATATTTCTTTTCCATCTGTTTCTCAGTGTCAAGGCCAAATGTTCATTTACAAAGTGAAAATTTAACAGTTTGCTTTTGATCAAATTAAGATTCAGCCAGAGAGGCCTCCTGGCTGGAGTGGCTCAGTTGGTTGAGCATCATCCTGAGCACTGAGAGGCTACTGGTTCGACTCCCGGTTAGAGCACTTAGCTAGGTTGCCGGTTTGATCCCCGGTTAGGGCAGAAGGCAATCAATCAGTGTTTCTGTCTCATGTCGTTCTCTCTCTCTCTCTCTCTCTCTCTCTCTCTCTCTCTCCTTCTCCTTTTCCCTCTCCCTCTCCCTTCCTCTCTCTATGCATGTCCTCAGGTAAGGATTAAAGAAAAAAATTCAGCCAAAGGGTACTCTGACTTATTATAAATAATGTAGACTCTGCAGTGTGTCATTAAATATGTATGTCTAAATTTTAAGTCTTCTGACCTCTCTGGCTTCCTCTTTATTACAAGCAAAACTCAATCTTTTATATCTGAATTTTCATTTAAACTTTAAACAGAATTACTTTATCTATTTTTAAAGAAAAAAATAATAATCATTTTTTGCTATATTTTTTTTGGCAGAGTGTAC